GCCACAGCACTCTACCCAGGGGGATAGCTTGAGGCTCTGTCTCAAAAAAAAAAAAATCATCATGGAATGGCGGCACCCATAGCTCAGTCAACAAGGGCACTGGCCACATACACCTAGGGTGGAGGGTTTGAACCCAGCCTGGGTCTGCTAAGCAACAATGACAACTGAAACCAAAAAATAGCCGGGCATTGTGGCAGGCACCTGTAGTCCCAGCTACTTGGGAGGCTGAGGCAAGAGAATCTCTTAAGCCCAAGAGTTGGAGGTTAGTGTGAGCTGTGATGCCACAGCAGTCTACCCAAGACAACAGCTTGAGACTCTGTCTCAAAAGAAAAAAAAAGGGTGGTGCCTGTGGCTCTGTGAGTAGGGCACCAGCCCCAGGTACTGAAGGTAGAGGGTTCAAACCTGGCCCCAGCCAAATTGCAACCAAAAAATAGCCAGGTGCTGTGGTAGGTACCTGTAGTCCCAGCTACTGGGGAGCCTGAGGCAAGAGAATCGCCTAAGCCTAAGAGCTGGAGGTTGCTGTGAGCTATGTGATGCCATGGCACTCTACTGAGGGCGATAGAGTGAGACTATCTCTACAAAAAAAATAAAAAGAAAAAATAATCATTATGAAAAAAAGCTTTTACTTATTTAAATGTTATCACTATTTAAGGCTGAGAAATTATTTTTAAGTATTTAAAAGTAACCCACTTCATGTTAACGTACGTATTTTAATGAAAAATAACTGCATTTTTTGGCTTGGCGCCTAGAGCTAAAGCAGCTAAGGTGCCAGCCATATACTCCAGAGCTGGCAGGTTTGAATCCAGCCTGGGCCTGCCAAACAACAATGATAACTACAACGAAAAAATAGCCAGGCACTGTGGTGGGCACCTGTGGTCCCAGCTACTTGGGAGGCTGAGGCAAGAGAATCACTTAAGCCAGGAGTTGGAGGTTGCTGTGAACTGTGATGCCACAGCACTCTACCCAGTGCGACAGCTTGAGACTCTGTCTCAAAAACATAATAAATAAATTAAATTAAAACTGTATTTTTCGGGGCAGCGAGTGTGGCTCAGTGGGTAGGGTGCTAGCCCCATATTCCAAGGGTGGTGGGTTCAAACCCGGCTCCAGCCAAACTGCAACAAAAAAATAGCCGGGTGTTGTAGTGGGTGCCTGTAGTCCCAGCTACTCTGGAGGCTGAGGCAAGAGAATTGCCTAAGCCCAGGAGTTGGAGGTTGCTGTGAGCTGTGATGCCACGGTACTCTACCGAGGGTGACAAAGTGAGATTCTGTCTCAAAAAAACTGTATTTTTCAAAACAAAAGAAAAAATGTAGAGAGGAATTGTTTTACATTTTTGTAATTCACCCAACAAAAGACAACAGTATTGCTATATTTGCCCCTACACCCAATCTGTTGCACTATCACACATTATGCAGCTTCTGGAAAACACTGTACACGCATGAGAAGATGAGAATGAATATTCTTATTACTACTATGAAAGTGGCATCTTCTTACTACTATGAAAATAGTTTGAACTTGTAGACCCCTGAAGAGTCTCATGGACCTGCCTGGGGACCTGGGCTGGGCCCCTTTTCACTTTGGCAAGCTGAGGCAAGAGTATTGCTAGAAGCCAGGAGTTCAAGAGTAGCCTGAGTACCATAGCAAGACCTTATCGCAACAAGTTAGAAAAATTAGCCAGGTGTGGTGTGTTGGCATGCACCTGTAGTCGCAGCTACTCAAGAGGCTGAGGCAACAGGATTGCTTGAACCCAGGAGTTTGAGGTTGCTGTGAGCTATGATGATGCCACCGTACTCGAGCCTTATGACAAAGTGAGCTCCTGTCTCAAAAACAAAAATCAAGGACCTCAGGCTCCAAGAGATTAAGTTACTTGCTAAAGATTATCTAGCAAGTTAATGCCAGAACTGGAAGTAGGATCCAGGGCCTTTTCACTCTTTCTGGGAATGCTTTTCACACTATTATACAGTAGCACCTCCACAGTTGACCACCTTTTTTTTTTTTTTTTTGAGACAGAGCCTCAAGCTGTCTCCCTGGGTAGAGTGCCGTGGCATTACAGCTCACAGTAACCTCCAATTCCCGGGCTCAAGCGAGTCTCCTGCCTCCGCCTCCCAAGTAGCTGGGACCACAGGCGCCCGCCACAACTCCTGGCCATCCCTTGACTGCAGCCATC